GCCTTGGCCGTACAGCAGGAGAAACAATGCAATAGTTCTATGAGCTTAGTCCTCTAATAATTGTTGATATCAGTTGTAAACACAATTGTTGCCTGTTTCAGCTTATCACTTTTTATGCCCTCAATATCATTCATTCATTCATTCATTCATTCATTCATTCATTCATTCATTCATTCATTCATGGTCTATTAATATAAATCTGATATATTAGCTCACTTTGATGTTACTTCTCACATTTTAGTTTATATTTTAGAAGACAATATAATTTAACTTTTTTTTTCTTATTTCAAAAGTTCACACTTAAATAAAATAATAAAATGAATAAGAAAGAAAGAAAAAAATGTTTTGCATTTTCAAGTACTTAGGGGATTTCAGTGCTTGCTCTAGTTTCACTTCTTATTGTAACTCACGTAAGAATACCCATGTAGTTACCAGGAGCTTGGATCAGTTCAAGAGAGCTTCATCTTTCTATGCAGAAGTTAAAGTGAACGGGCATTCTATGTTCCTGATGGCTGCACATTTAACCCTGACTTTTTTGCATTTTATGGAATTTGTATATGACCAGAAGACCATCTGCACAATGATTGACACACACACACACACACACACACTGTATGTGTTTATCTATGTGTGTATATAATATTACATTGCATTGTATTACAATACATTACATTATGCTATAATAATGGATTGTTAAATGTGTGTTAGTTAGGAATTGACACATTCTTTTTCTTTTGACTTCATTTGTTAACTCATTATATTTTTAAAACTGAGAACATGCAAACATCTTAAAATCAAGCTCAGTTTTTATCCTCTTCTTCAAGACATAGGTTACATAGTATAACAGCCTCTGAGGAAAAACATACTGTGTCAGAAAGGCAGGTCCAAGATCATATGATTGTAGGAAGATGCCGATGCTGATGCTGATGATATAACAGCATTTTTAATAAAAGAAAAGACATCCATGCTTAAACAAAACAGAGAAAGAAACATGCAAAAAAGGAAATGTAAAACACAACGTACAGTAGTTAAACAGGGAATTTACGAACATTGTGGAATTAGGTTAAAATTGCCAATATTTAATTTGACTTGTTTTAAATAACTGTATATATTATGTCATTTTAAAAACAAATAATTTTTAAATTCAAATTTATATGATTATCTGTAGCAATAATCGGTGCAGTATAAACCATAAAATGAGGCTAAGGTACAGTAATTTCTATCTGAGCAATTCAAGACTTTATGCTAAGATGAACCCAAATTTTGGAGGTGGCACAAGCTTGTATATGGATTTGTAATCCAAAAATAATTTCTAAATTGAATTAAATTCTGTGTCAGATTTATTTTTAAAATACAAAGTTATTTTGGACATTGAGGCATACCCAAATCTTATTTAGCCATTCCTCTGCAGAAATAACTAGAAGGAATTCTAAAAGGAAGTATAAATTATCCTTGCATCAGTTCCCATGTACAACGTTAATTCAGTATACTCTGTGGGAATGTAAAGTTTAGTAATATTACATTAAAAAAAAATAGGTTGGTAGGGAAATTCAGCCCTTATTTTTTTTAATTCTGTTATTATTTTTTTAAATTATTACAACATTACCAACAAACATGGAAAAAAATAATCCAATCAGGTGTTTTCATTTTTCTCCATTTCTAGAAAATTAGCTGATCATTTTGTCAATCAATACTGGAATAATATACAAGTGATAAAATATCTTATACCAATTTTGTCTAACTATAATATTTGGTGTGAATTCAATTTCTTTTCCATTGAAATTCACCTTGTTGCCTATGAATAATTATACCTAAATTCTTCATCAGTTTAATCTTTGCCTTATTAATGATCAAATTTTGCACTCTGTATGATGTATTATCTCTCCATTGAACAAATTTCTTTGTGTTTTTCTCTTCATGTAAAGAATATTCAATCAAAAGGTGAACAGTGGGAAGTCTGGATGATTCTTTTCCTGTATCCAAATCTTTTAATATGCTGCTTATTGATGCATATTGTCTTATAAAATGTTCATTTCTGTTTATTCAGAAACAGCTAGGCAGCTAAATTGCAAATACATTTTGAAGTTTGGAGATGCTAAACTGTCTTGTTTGTTTGAATCCGGTAGTATTTTAAATTCATTCCTAGGTCTTTTATTAGATTATATTAATTTTGTTACTAGCCACTTAATACATTTTCATTTTTTGAGGTGGGGGGGATAATTTGAAATAGCAATTAAGCCTTGGTAGAATGTTTGTTTTAATTACTGCAATTCTTCCTAACCAAGATGGTTTTAACATTCTCCATCTTTAAAAAATCTGCCATTATATTTTTCCAAATCTGTGAATAATTGTTTTTAAATAAGTTTTTGTTGTTGTTGTTAATTCCCCAGTTATTTAACCTTACCGGCAGTGATATTAAACTTTGTTATTGCTTTTCTTTTTCTTCTTTCTTTCTAAGTCAACATTTGAATTTTACCATTATCCACCTGATATCCTAACACCAAATTACACTGCTGTATGTTTTTGTTATAAATTCTAAAGAGTTCTTTGGCTGAGTAACATCAACAGCATGTACCAAGATCAAATGGTGATGGTGCAAAGATTTGTAAATGGAAGTCCCTACATGTGTCCATGCAGTCATCAGGAGCTGAACATGACTTGATGATTATTGCTTTTAATTTACTATTAAATTGCCAGTTAAAATATTTGCCTGCACATCTGTTTGGCTAAGAACATACCATAGGATCTATTGTGAACCAATGGTTCCCTGACATACCTTAGTTTCAAGAAATTCTTCTCCTACGTCAATATGTAGAACAAATCCTCTCCAGAATTAAGAACTGCAGTAGTTACACAGGTTATATGTCCAAGTTCTTCCATGAGGATTTAGAACAACCTCATCAAGACCTTCTGCAATCTTTAGTATAAAGGAAAATGTTAAAGAAACTAACTTGCCAGGCCTTAATATTCATCACCTTTAGAGGTCTTCCTAAGAGATTTACTTTCCTCCGTAAACATCAGTAGGAAATACCTTCATCACAGATTTCAGTGAGAACTAACTCCAGTTACAGTACTCATTTTCTTTCTTGAAATTTAATTAGAATCTATTTCTAAATTCTAGTCCCTATAGTTCCCAAAGGTCTGTATACAATTAAGTAGTACATGTGTTCTGCACAGAATAAATAAACCTAGTGTGAATATCATCTGGATAAATAAACTCTATGGAGATATAAACTAAACCTGTAGAGATTATATAGTGGGAACATAGGCTCACAAGCTCCAAAACTCTGATGCCTATATTGTGAAATGGAAAAGGAAATATGCTTCATGTCTGAACTGACTGAAGGGTTTCATAAATATATTGGAAGCTTCACAGAATGTAGTGAAACTTATTATGCCAGAGAATCAAATAATAGTAATATGTAGATAATAATATATCTCTACTCTGTGTGGAAATCTGATCTGAAAAGAAAATAATTAATGACAGTAATATTCCTAAAGTCATTTAAAACTTGTAACAGAAAATCCAATACCACTTTAACCACAACTGACAGCTGAGCACTGCACTTAACTACCATTAAAACCTGGCTAATCCAAAGGATTTGGGATGGGGAACTGCTGTGAAGAGGAAGGCCTCTTGATCCAATATGTGCTGAGGTTTCTTTATTCCTTTGGTGTAAAAGTTATTGCAATCATAATTTGTTGCTTTATCTTGTTATTTCTTTTGTTCTTTTGATATGCTGTTTTAATCCTCTTGCTGTTTTTGCAAAGCCTCTATGAATCTCCATGGATTAAAATAGCATCTGAAACAAACAAAGAAACAAATCCTAATTTAATTAGTTGAGAAAACATAGAATCATGGAATTATGGATGTGGAAGGGACCACCAAACATAAACTAGTTCAACTCTCTGCAATTTGCACCATCTTTGAGAAATGGTTGTCCATCCTCTTCTTAAAAACCTCCAGAGGTGGAGAAGGGCATGTCTTTAAATCCTCTTATCACCCTCCTTTGAACCCATTTTAACCTGTTAACATCCAAATGTGGAGCCAGAATTGTACACAGTCTCTGTATATTGCAGAGTAGTTTTATATCTCTTATATACTCCTTATATCTCAAGGCAGTTTAGGATGGGGGTGGTCTACTACAATTGTCAGTAAATAAACATAATCAATAATTGAATGATTATTGGTAAAAACATGATTAAAATTTAATGGGAAGGAGAAAAAACCCTCTGTCATTCACAGAAGTTAAAGTTATGGATCTTTAGTGGTTATCTAACAGTTATAATAGTAAATTTCCCTAGAATTGTAAAGAGCAGGTATTAACACTAAGAAGGCCTATTTGCAAGAGATAATAACAGGCCAATCTGAAATTTATGGTATTTGCAGTAGGACCTCCTCAGAAATTTCTGAGTGATTGTGAAGATTTATAACTGTGGAGACTGATCTATCAGTATCAATAGCCCCAAGCTTGAACCCGGTCTGGTAGCTTACTGGTAGCCAGTATGGTTGTGTTATGGTAAGTGCAATAGATGCAGGAACTGGTGATTAATTCTGCAACATGGCCACCACATTCTGTACCAGTTATAACATCTGAACCAGATGCGAGGGTAGAGCTGCATAGAATGCAGTTATTGCAACATGAGGTTCCTAGTGCATATGCATATTGTGTTAATTTTGTTTTAGATGTTAGGCTTCTCTCAAGTGGCTATGATAAAGTTACCACTCTATTAAATTGCCCCATATTTTC